TTGTACATTTTAAAATAAATTCAATTATATTAGATTTATTTTATAGCTATATATATATAGGTTCTGGTGAGAATGCGATTTTAGGAGAGAAATGAGAATGAATCTGGGGCTTTAGATTGTAAGATCTAAGGGTTAGGATTACATCAAAATTAGGTGCCCAAAAATGGTTAGAAAATGCATCATGTCGAAATGCACCAGAATCCTTTGAAAATGCACTATCTCAAAATCTGAGCGCAGGATGCAATCTGAGCCGCACGATGCATCAGATCCAACGACTAGATTTTATTCTCATTTCTCTCCACAAAGTGCATTCTCACGGGAACCAGCCCCTATATATATACTCCGTGTATATATATATATATATATATATATATATATATATATATATATATATATATATATATATATATATATATAATGTATGTTCGCCATTTGACCGCCCGCCTCTCGCCATAAAAAAGGTCCTTTCGCCCGCCACTCGCCATTAATAACTATGCCTTAATGGCAAATAAGCACAATGGCACACCTCAGATTTTTACATAAATTTAGAAATATATTGGACCATTTTTAAATGCTATTGGGCATATGAAGCCTTTGAGCCATAAATTTTCTTTCTCTGATTTTGTTTTTCTTCCAGGCAACAGTCACATCTTTCCTTGTTTTTTGTTTTCTACATCTCTCTCTCTCTCCCCTACTAAATCTCTTTATTAGTTATGTCTTATTAATTTCTGCTTTAGAATGTTCGCACATCTTGCATTATTGTTTTTATTTTAGTTATACTTGGTAAAATAAAATTTGTGAACTATTAAGGCTGTTCAGAATTTTATAATACCTCTCCCCAAATTATATTAACAGTTTGACTTCACAATGTTTTAGGCAATATAATTTTTTTGACCTGCCCATATTGCCCTTATATTTAAGTGGAGTGGATAGAAAAAGATGTGGGTGTTAACAAAATATGGGCGTATGAATACGTTAGTGTGTTAGAAAAGTAGGATGGGTTAGGAAAAAGTAGTTACATGTATTTTAGAATTGTTTTAAACTTTTCCCCAAAAGTGTGGCTTTGTGGGGCGGGGGGGGGGGGTGCGGGGGGATTTGGCTAGTGATTTTCATTGATATGACTATTTGGAATACTTGATTGATAATGTCAACTGTGCCTTATTCATAAATTTATGTTGGCACTTTCTGCTCCCTTTTTGGGTTTACTGTTTTCGGTTGCAGCACTAACATCAGTTTGATCTTTGATAGCTATCAAGATCTTGATGCACCAGAAGATGAAGTCACTGTAATAGATTACAGAAGTTTGTAGCTTCATTAGTGGTTGAAGATAAAGATAAAAGGGAAACCCACTGTGTTTGTCCCTCAATTCTTATGAATCAGCTATACAATTCAGTCCTTCATCGTCGCTATTTTATGCAACTTATCCCACAATTTTTCTGAAATGTTGCCAATTCAGTTTCCATAATTGTGTGAAATCTATACCTCTCAATGGTTCAGAAGAGGGACTAAATTGGTGACACCTCAAAAGAATTGAGGGTCTAAAATGCATAAATCGACAGTGGACATTTGTATGATTCGTAACAATTGGAGGACCAATACGGCGATTTCCCTCAACTCGGAGACGACAAAAACCGAAGGGCGGAGACGACTTGGGCCTATTTTTGAGGTACTCTCTGGGAAAGCAACAAATGAATCGAACAATTATTACTGTATCAATTGACTTGCATGTTCGGAAGTTAGAGACTCAGTGTTTTCTTTTTTGTTTGTCTTGTTTTGCTTTTTGTATTCTTAAGATACTTCTGATTGGGCAAGTGTGTATTTTATGCCCTAACAGTATAGTTTCCTACCCAAAAGCATATTCTCCTAATTTATTTCCATTTGTTGGTCTTTGAATCCAATATTTTTTTAGTGAGGCAGCAATTTAGTTCAGTTGTTATTCTTCAATTTCTACGTATTAATGACATCAGTTACAGATATGTTCATCTTATTTATTACTCGTTTTAGGAGTCAAGTTTGACGCCTAATATTTGTTCGCGTAGTTGCAGAACTTTAATCCGAAATAAAAAAGTGTTATTAAACCCGGGCGTGACTGGTTGGACCGGTCGATTGGATCACAAATCGTCTATGGTTCCAGTATGAACTGGTCTGTCTGGGTGCTAGATATTCTCGTCATCAGTTAGAGATGAAAGTATACTCAAAGTAGGAGACTAGGAGGTATAGATTTGAGCTCTACTTTAAGCACTTTATCGTTTTTGGATACATGTTCTTTATGAATCAGAACTTCAAATTCTTTTCGTTATCTCCACCGGTTAGAAAGATTTCATAGCATCTCAAGACATGAGTTTTCCATCTCATTTCATTGGGTTTCTTCATTGATTGACATGGTGTATTCTTTGTATCTTTAGAGAATAAGTGAGATTTCTAGATCGTATTGGGAGAATAAAAATCAATGATTTTCATATTAAAACAATCAAGAAGTAAGCAACATTCTTACTAAACTCAAGTACACTTTCGGCCAATTAGTGTTTTGCAAAGTTTAGGTTAGACTTGTAAACCGGTCGGATTGGAATTGTAGGTCTCGAGTAGGATCATATTTGGATCGGTCTGGGTTTCGGTCCATAGTTTATGGATTGGTAATGATCCAGTCTATTTCTTTAGATCTAGAACTGTATCGGGTTAGATTGGTAAATCTGGATATTAGTTCACTTTAGAAACCATTTATTCATTGCACTCACTCACACTCACTCACACCAAGACCTTTTGAATTTTTTCATTGGCATTATTGAATAGAACTTTTCATGTAACTTCACTCTCCACCTTGGTGGTATATAAAAAACTACACACAAACCTACTTCAATGACATATGCACACATTCTTATAACTACCTTCGTCATAAATTAAGTTGTTTGTTTACTATTAAATGGTCAAGCTTCATTCACTTTTTATTTATTTATTTTCGTTACTCATTTCATAAAATAATATAATCAATTATGTCACTTCTTGTTTCGTAGAATATTTGATGTAGTTTCAAAATATGTAAATTTTATTTTTAAATCCACCCCAATCTCAAATAAATTGTATTAAAAATAACTTTAACCAAACATCGTTAACCAAAATATGCGATTTAAATTAGAACAAAGGGAGTAGTATTGACGACAATCAAAGAAGAGTTGTTCTTCTATGATCATAAGGTTCACATGTGAAAATTAGAACAAAGGGAGTAACATTGACGGGCAAGTGTGTTTTTTAAAGGCTTAATTCTTTTATAATATCAATGCACTAAAGAAATGAGACATGTACACTTACCCTTATAAACACCAAATTCTCACCAAAGGAATGAGAGAAAAAAACATCTTTTTTCGTTAATGCCACATATGCACTGAGAAGTCAAGTTGAATGTCACATGTGCACTCACCGGTCAAATTATGAGAATTTCAACAAGGGGTACAAATTTGTTTCATAAGTGATTAGACCACAGGGTGTGGCACTGCTAGCCGATGTGGCATTCAGTCTCGATCATCGCCACCACCCCCACCGATCGACGTAATAAGAACGTCGATGTTGAACACTCCGGTTTGAATCGTTTTTCGTTTCTTCTCCTTCTCTCCTCTTCTCATTCTTTTCTTCTTCTCCGTGGTTTCTTTCATCATCTTCTTCTCAATCGTTTCTTTCTTTTTCTTCTTTTAATTGTAGGTTTAAATGTTACTACCTCCGTTCTAAAACGTTTTTCCCGATTCTGTTAATGACATTTGATTGATTTTATTTTCAATTCAACTTATTTGATTCTAGATATAAAATTAAAAAATAAAATTTATATATTTAAAAAATACATCAGAAGCTCAACAAAACAAGAGGTGATAAGACATTATTATTATTATTATTATTTTATCAAATAACTAACGAAAATAAGTAAAGAAAGTGATTAAAGTTTGACTGTGTGAATAGTAACTGGAAAGAACGTTTTAGGTGGGAAAGAGTAGTTTTTACTTTGTTTTTTAATTTCAGTTTTTATTTGGTTTTTAATTTCAGTTTTTATTTTGTTCCTTTCTTCTTTTGATTTCGTTTTTTTACAAGTATTTTTTTAATTTCAATTTTTTTTTAGTTAAACTTAAAAATTTATATAAAATGTTCTAAAAATAGTATGTAAAAATTTAAATTAAAAAATGAGAATGGAATAGGGACCACGCTCTTAAATGAGAATAAAATAAAGAAAAACTAATGTGACGTAGAGTTAGAAGTAGAGACGGTGGAGAAGTGATGAAGCATATCGTGTAGCCTAAAGGTGGTATTGTTAGAAATTAAAAATGAATGTCTTTTTGTCACAAGATTCACAATTAGGCCATGTGTTTTAGCGGGCTTGAAGAGATTTGACGGAGTGTAAAGATGTATGATGTTGAGTGATGAAAATATGTGTTGTGGTGGGTGTGATGTAAAGTGATGAGTTGTGAATATCTGTGTAATTTTAAGAAATATTTGCACTAAATAGCACTAAAACTTAAGTCATTTCTCTAAATAGCACTTAAATTATTTTATTCTCTAAATAGCACTTAATAATGTCCATAATGACCAGTGATGTCAAACATTTACTTGAATAATGACTAATGAATAATGACTAAAAGTGCTATATTGAGAAAAAATCACATGTAGTGCTATTTAGGGAAAGTCATTATGTTTTAGTGTTATTTACGTAAATTCCTCTAATTTTAATTGGTTTGAAATAAAAAAAATTAAAAAATAAAAAGAAGGGCAACACCTGTGTCAACCATCTAACCCATTTTGTGACGCCTCTGTCATACCCACAGTGTCACGGTGGTCACACCGCGGCAGAGCGTGATGTCTCGTTCACGTCTGTAGGTCAAACCCCGTAACACATAGTTTAATTAAAAAAACATGGTATGGGTGGTGGTGGGAGCTTTAAATTAAATTAAATGTTGAGCTGCCATTGGGAGCATCTTTTTTTTAAGAGTATTAAAAGAAAGAAAGCCTCGGCTCCGCATTCAGTACTTCAATTCCCCTCACATTGCCAGCCACAAAATTAAAAGAAAGCCCATCCATCACCCAACCACATCGCAATAAAAATGACGGCGACCAAGACTACCATCCTCCTCCTCCTCGTGGCGGCGGCGTCCCTGGCCATGACCAAGGCCCAGTCTCCGGCCGCCTCTCCGGGTCCGGCGACGGCGGAGGACTGCATGACCCACCTGCTGGACATGTCGGACTGCCTGACGTACGTGGAGGCGGGGAGCAACCTGACGAAGCCGGAGAAGGCGTGCTGCCCTGAGCTGTCGGGGCTGGTGAACAGCCACCCGGAGTGCCTCTGCAGGCTTCTCGCCGACCCCAACAGCACCATCGGAATCGCCATTGAGCTTCACAAGGCCCTCAATCTCCCCTCTGTTTGCAAGATTGATTCCATCTCTCCTAGCCTCTGCTCCCGTATGTTCTTTATTCCTTATTCTTTCCTCACCAGTTTTTGTACTCCATTTTTTTAAAATCTCTTATTAAATAAATACTTCCCGTCCACACATAAACTTCTCGTTCAGTCAAATTTTATTCACTTTGTTAGCCTATTTTCGTCACTCTTTTCATAAAATAATATAGTCATGTCACTCCTAGTTTTGTAGATCTAATTTTTTAATACGTAAATTTTAAATCATTTTTTATATACAATGATTTGAAAATAACTTCACTCAAATATCGTAACGCAAAACGGGAAGTTTATTTATGGACGGAGAGAGTATCACAGTCACCATCAATTAAATAGAAATTATAATCCATATAAGATTATAAAATAATAATGAGAAAATGTCCAAAACAGGAACAAAATATAGCCCTTATCAGATATACAGTGAGTTGACACAGTGTCTTTGGGTATTACTCCCTCCGTCCCCCTGTATTTGTCCACTTTCAGTTTTGCACACCATCCAATGCACTTCTTTAATCCATTTTATCTTGTAATTTGTATATTAAAAAGTCAAAAGTGGACGAATACAGGGGGACGGAGGGAGTATATGTTGGCATTATGAGTATTATTTTGACGATAAAACATTAAAGTCTTATTGTGTTCTTGTTACGGAATACTCCCTCCGTCCCTAAATAAATTTCCCTTTTTTACTTTCAAAAAAAAAATTTCCTTTTTGACTTTTTGAGGATTTAAGAGGGATATTTTTGTGTTGACTTTTCAAAAATACCCTTGATGTGATGTATAAAAGTAAGATGTGATATGTAGATTATTAGTAAAAAGGTATGATGTGATAAGCAGGGTATGAAAAAAGTAAATGGAAAAAGAGGTTTTTTTAAGGAAAAGAGAAGTTTATTTGGGGACAAAGAAAAAACGAAAGGGGAAGTTTATTTAGGGACGGAGGGAGTATAATTTATTTCTATTTTGTTTTTTTTTCCAGAATGATATTTTAGCAGTTTTTTCCAACATAAAGCAAATAAATCATATTTGTATTAATGTGAAATGTAATTACTTTCATTTAGTTGATGATCAAAGTTTATCTCACTTAACCAAAAATAGTCAAGTTCGAAAAATATTTTTGAATTGAGGTAATATTTACCAAAAGTAATTTTAATTTAGGCCTCTTGTTTGAGAACAATATTTTCAATTAACATTCGTGCTTTGAATATTTTTTTACTACTCTCTCTTTGGTCCTGAATAAACTTTTGCATTTGATTGTTACTCCATCCGTCCTATAATGTTCTTCCCGGTTCTGTTTACGAAGTTTGACTGACTTTATTTTTAATTCAATTTATTTGATTATATGTGTAAAATTTTAAAATAAAATTTATATATTTAAAAACTACATCAAAAGATCTACAAAACAAGTAGTGACAAGACCTAATGAATATATTTAAAATTTATATATTTAAGAACTACATCAAATACCTAATGAAAATAGGTTAAGAAAGTGATTAAAGTTTGACCGTATGAATAGTAAGTAGGAAGAACATTTCAGGACGGAGGGAGTATTTTTTTTAAGGTGGTGAATGTAAAAAATGTTTTGGAAAATTGAAGTGAGATGTTGAGAAATGAGAATGTAAAAAGTACATACTTCCTCCGTTCCCAATTTGATTACAATTTTTGTTTTTCTCGATAACTTTTGTTTGTTTACGCGATTTCATTAGGTATTTGATAAAATAAAATATTCTTGTCACATTTTGTTTTGTAAAATTTTTAACATAAATTTTTAATGTTTAATTTTTATTTTTTATTGATATACTCCCTCCGTCCGCCTAAGATGTTCTCATTTTGACTTTTGGTGGTTTTTAAGGAGAGTTGAAAAAAGGTGAAAGTTTACCATAATACTCTTAATGAAAAATGGGTGGAGTGTATTAAATGAGGTGGGTGGGGTGTAATAAATAAAGTAAGTGGGGATAGTTGTGGTATTTTACTTGTTAAAAAATGAAATGAGAAGATCTGTTGTGGACAAAGAAAAATGGCTATTGGGAAGATCTATGGTGGACAGAGGGAGTATCAATTTTATAAATAAAATAATTTCGAAAATTGAGATATTTCTCTTCGTAAATCTCAATTTGTAATTAAATTGGGAAGGGAGGGAATATTAAAAAGTATTAAATGCATCAATAAAAAACGAGTTATATACAATGTTGAGTAATGCTAAGGGTATAGTATTTTGTACTCCACTTATTTTCGCACACCACCTCATCATTCATCGTATATTTTTTTATCAATTATTGTCAAATTGATATATAAATAATAAAAAATTAAGATTTATATGTTTTAAAAATTATATAAAAAGTTTTATAAAAGAATAGTAACAAGAATATTTTATTAGAGATGAGAAATACAGTATTAAAATATAAACATAAGGAAAAGATGTGATGGGGGTGCATTAAATAATTTGTTTGCACTGCATTTAAGAACCCCTCAAAAATTAAATCGTCGGTTTATGGAAGCCGGGAGCATTTATCGCCGACCGCGCACAAGACGGGTTCTGTTCGTAAATGCATAACCAGCCTTCAACAACTCCCAACTACCTTTCTTTTTAATTAATCTTCATTATCACTGCTAGTTGTAATTTGTTTATTGGCTGGCTCTATACCCTCTAGGGTGGTGGCTTAATGGCTTCATCCAATTGTTTAGCCAAACACTACTTAAAATAATTTTGAATAGTATTTGGTTAAACTGTTACACGTTTTGACTAGAAATTGTAAGAAAAGTATGTTGAATTATAATATAAATTTAATATAACTTGATTTATTTTAGGATCTAGTTTTGATATATCAAATTTTTATTAACAATTCTTTATTTAGATTATATTTAATTTATGGTCAAAGCATGTAACTGTTTGACCAAAAGTACATCAAAATGGGTAACGTTCTGTGGGACAGAGGGAGTAGCATATTTAAAATAACTTTCAATTAGCATTTTGAGTAATATTAAATATTAATTGTTACTACATTAAAATAACTTTTCTCAAAATGTTAAATATAACGCTGAAACTTTTGCCACACAGGTACTTAATTGAAAATAAGATTCTATTTAATTTATTTAATTGTTTTATTTTAGTAACAAATAGGGAGTATCAATCAAAATTCGAAATCCTAATTGTAAACAATGTAAAAGGTAATTCTTTCTGTAAATGTTGACATTAATTTTGGTTTAAATGTACAGTTATTGGCATCCAAGTGGGAGGAGCACCTGCACCTGCACCTACAAAAGGGTCAAAGACATCATCTGGACAACCACAGCCTGGTAATTATAACATTCATCCTTCCTCTCCCCCAAATTCATTTACGCTCTTCAAAACCCGTCCCAAAGTATTCAAATAAAAAGTACAAATTACGTATCTAAAAATTACATCAAAACTTTTATAAAATAATATGCAATAAATATATTTATTTTATTAAATGACCAATGAAAACGCACGGATAGACAAAAGTTATCACAACACTCAAATGGTAAAAGTGTAAAACACTTTGAGATGCAGGGAGTATTTATTTATTAATCGCTCAAATTATTATTATTATTTCACCTTTCCTCAAAAGAAAAATTGCTTGTTTTTTTTGTTTATGTAAATAAATGAAAATTTGAGTTTTTCTTATAAGCAGATCTTATAGAGGACTATTGAAAAAGTATGACATTGAAATCATTTTTTACTAATATGCAAATGTTGTTTTTATTTGATTGATAATCTATCCAGTTTAGCTAAAAAAATTAAACTAGACGAGTATATTGGAACCTAAGGAAATGGAAATTAAAGTACTCGTAAGAGCATCTTCAACCATGCTTGCTATGTTATATTGTTATTGTTAAATTTTAGCTAGTGAATAGTAATATACTCGGGGTAGCAAATAGTTTTTTCCTCCATTCTCCAACCATGCTAGCTAAATTTTAACCAAGAATGGATTTTTCTAGTGCTTCTCTCTATTCTCATGATGAGATTACTTTTTGGATCCTTGATTTAATTTTTTATTAATTTTTTTGGCTTGCTATTATTTGGGTGGCTTGCTATGTTTAGCAAGTCAATTTTACTTTTCGACTAGTGTGTTATAATATACCACATCCCTTGGAGATGGAAAAAATAGACTCACTTGCTATTAGTATATACTACCTCTGTCCCACAAAAAAGTTCCCATTTTGACCATAAATTGGTCAAATTGTTGCACACTTTGATCATAAATTAAATATAATCTAAATAAAGAAATGCTAAAAAAATTTGAGATATCAAAACTAGATCCTAAGATTAATCTAATTATATATTCCGTAAAATTTATTTCATAATTCAATATACCTTTTTCACAATTTATAGTCAAAGCGTATAAATATTTAACTAAATACTATTCAATATGAGAATTTTTTTGTGGGACGAAGGGAGTAAGTTTTAGCAAGCCATATTGATATGGTTGGAGATGCTCTAAGAGGAAAACGAGGTTTAATGTGTCATTTTGGTGTAGTCGTGTATGCCCGAACATAAACATTATCAATAACGGCTCTTTTTGCTCCAAAAAAACACCTAAATGGGGCCTTAGTGCAACCAACAAACAAATATTCCGAAAAAAACTTGATTTTATGAATTGAATTTACAAATTAAAAACAGTATTTTTTTTACTGCAATAATTGTGGTTTATTATTTGTATTAAAAAAAGAAGTTGAAAAATTGCGATAAAAAAATATAATGCAGGTGGAACAAGTCCCACATCAGTTGGGGATGGTGGGTTGGCATCAAGCCCATCAGTTGGGAAGGGTGGCAGTGCTGCTGCTCCCAGAGGGCCCTTCGGCTTTCACCACTCCCTTTTCCTTGCTGCTTTTGTTTTCTTTGCTTCTTTTCTTTAATGCATCCCACAATTCTTCTTCTTCTGTTTTTCCTTCAATTTATTTCCCCCCTCTTTTCTTTTTTTATTTATTTATTTATAAATACATATACTTTGATCTGAGGGAAGAGTAATGTTTCTTTGTTTAGAACTCCTAATCATGTCTTTCGTGTATGTGTTTGTGACACATTTATATATTGTTGTATGCTATTGGTCACCCAATCCATTTCTTACCTTTCATTATTATCTCCATATTACAATTTACGATATTTGACCGAAATTATGTTCAATTTAATTTATTTAAGCAAAATTATATTTCAAAGCGACATTAAAAACATTATAAATATAGTGACATGCTTGCATTATTTTAACAAATAATTAAAATATCTTACCAGGGAGTACATTATTTGAACAAATCTTTATGAATGTACTCCCTCCGTTCTCAAAAACATTTTCCCTTTCAAAATTTTTCACTTCCAACAAAACACTTTCTCTTCCATTTAAAATCTCTAAAATACCTCTCTACCATAATTTATTCCTCCCTCGGTTATTTCACCCGTTTCCTTCCACATGTCGGTGTCCTTTCACCTACCCTATCTCATTCACCACCCATTTTCTCCACATCCTTCCATGGCCGCCTCCCCATCTTCTCCAAATCCTTCCATGCCCTTGTTTTGCTTGCTAACTGATAGCGATGAGGAAGGTCGTCGCCCTAAGAGAAAGATATTCGGTGGTTCCTTCAGCCCTGATAAGGATGTCCTTCCATCGTTTCATAAAGGGATTGTGTCAATCCGTTCCTTTAATGGTGATGAAGATGTCCTTCCATCGGATTCATCTGACACCGATCCATCTTGGAACTACCGGAAAAAGTACCTCGGAGGTGACCATCTACCGGATGGAGTAGAGTGGAGTTCAGACCTGGAACGGGAAGAAGGTGATTCAAAAGATGAATCAATAACCACTGAAGAGATTAGAGAAATGACCTCCGATACGGAGATATTATTTGCTTAACCGAGAGAAAGTGCTTCCATACTCCAATGATATCGCCGGAGTAATGTCCTTTAATCTTCTGTCATTGATATATTCTCTATACGTCCTTGCATGTTGCCTTTCTTCTTGATTTTTTTGGCAAACTAATGATGCAAACCTATTAATTTTGAAAATATAGGAGAATTGCTATAATGTAATGTCACCCCATTTGGTATGGAGACTTACAATGCTCAATGAAGGTGATGTGTTTGGTCAGGCTTGTAGAGTTTAATAGGAGAATTGCTATAATGTAATGTCACCCCCTTAATTGTGTGCTTATGATGGAACTTCAGTGTTATGCTCCTATGTTTTTTGAGTCATTAAGACCCTAAATCTGTGCATTCACACCATATTTCTTCAGTGCCTAATGTGTGAAACTTCCTAATTGTATGCCTGTGATGGAACTTCATTTTTATGCTCCTAACTTTTCAGAGCCATTTACACCTTTCTTCTTGAGTGTCTAATTTTTGAGAGTCCCTAAACATGTGCCTGCGATGGAACCAAATTGTGGTTGTCCTAGGTTGTCTGAGGCATTGAGACCCTATTACTTGAGTGCTAAATGTGTCCAAGTCTTTAACTGTGTGGCTATGATGGAACCCTTCTAGACCCTTCTTCTTGAGTATCTAATTTCTAAAAGTCCCTAAACCTGTCCCTGTGAGGAAACCAAATTGTGTTTGTTCCAGGTTGTCTGAGACAATTACTTCAATGCTTAATGTGTCAAAGTTCCTAAATGTGCGTTTGTGATGGAACCAAAGTGTGATTGTCCTAGGTTATCTAAGGCCATTAAGAAGGTACTTCTTCACTGTCTAATGTATGTGCATGTAATGAGGCAGTGAACTTCTAGAAAAATCAATTTCTATACTGGATATATATATATATATATATACACACAAGCATTACATCGTTCCTAAACTAGCATTACATCATTCACAAAAATGCACATCTGGATTACACTTGCACCAAAAAATAAAAAATTTGTGCAACTGTACACCAGATGTACACACAAAATACATTGCCTAAGGTTAATGACTTCTTTGTCCCTTAATTGTTGAGTTCTGAGTTCACAGCAACTTCATAGACCCCATTACTCACACTTATGGTCTCTGGTAGCAATCCTTGTCTAGCTAACCTTTCTTTCCCAATATGAGGTATTTTGAAGTCATTACCCCCTTTATGCTTGAGGACCTAACCCTTGACCACCTGATAAGTTAAGAGGACATGGTTTAGTTTTTGTGGGGCGAATTGGTCAAAAGCTGTTCCAACATTACCAATCAAGTCACCCATAGTCCTGGGTGCAGTTTTGTCCTGAATTACATCAATAGCCCTAAAGAACCCCAAGTCAAACACATTCAAATCTGGACTGTTTGGGGGTTGAAATTGTAATTGAATATCCAAATCACCTTCCTTTGCAGCACTAACAAATTCTGGGTCATTAATATCAACACGTGGTTTAGCATTGTCTTGTTGTATGAGTACATGTTTGGTTGTGCCAGGCCATTTTTCCCTTATTGCTGGTAGTAATTGATGTACCATCATGTTTCTCATCACATCTCTTGTAATCTTTGGTATTGGCTTGATTTCCATTGTACCAGCTGGCCTATTTTTGCTACTCCTTTGGGCTGCTTCCTCATATGTGAATGGAAATATGCCTATTTTTCCATCCCATAACCCTTCACCATCATCCCCAAATCTGGGACGACCTACAGCTGCCAAAAACATAATCTTGGGAATGTATGTTTTGGACTGTGTGGTTCTGTATGGTTCTTCCTCATTAGGCAATGTGTAAAAAGTTGTTGCCTTACTAAAGTTAAACCACTTTTCATCAATGTGTATGTAATTATAGCAGTCATGAAATGTGGGGTTGTTTGGCAGTAATTATACCTGAGTCTCTTTAACTTGCCCTTTTCACACAGAAGGGGTTTAATGGCATTTGAATGTCTTCTTATTTTATTTTCCTTGAGACAATTGTGTGTTGTACTGGTCGAGACATTCATGCAATGGCTTATAGCACATAAAGTCTTTCATTGGTTAAATGGAATTTCACTCAGCTTTGAGAAGTCCACAACCTTACGTTTTTTTTCCTACATTACTCTGCCACCTGCATTGAACATTTACAGCTTGGCCTCTCACCAATTGAGATTTAACAATTCTCCATAGCTATCTAACCCAACGATCTGACATGTTAAATTGAGCTGCCACTGCCTTAATTAAGCCTTGCTGAAGTTTGCCATTGTTGAACTTTTGTAGAATTGCATCAATAATTTGTTTCCTTTGTCCATCACTTGCTTGTACACCAGATATACTGTTTGAATCATCCGACAAGGGTTCGAGTAGTGGAATTAACATCAAAAGCGGAATCAAGATCTTGTGTGGGGAAGAACTCGACTGCCATTAATGGCAAAGGAAGAAACTGAGTGACAACATGAATGCAGGAGTATTTTAGGTAGATGAAATGTGTTTAATGTTAGACTTTCATTGTGTATTTATTAAAAAAGTTTGGGTTGTTCATGAAATTGTGTGGAGGGAATTTTAAATTTTTCTCAAACTAATTTTTTTTGTAATCTCCCTCTATTTTTAACTCCTCCACCGTGTGGGTAAGTGAAAAGTGGAAACTTTACACTATTTGTAATGATTGAGTACTATTGGCATTCATTGAAACCCTCGCCCTTTTAGGTTTACCCCATACCCACGTGCAAGGGAAGCAGGGCATAATGGGAAGGTCAAAGGCCAAATTACAATGCCTTTCTGGCTCCAAGTGAAAGTAGGAAGCTTTTATTAGAAAGGAGGGAATAATTGTTTTTCATGCAAGTTGACCCTCCAGGCCCAAACCTTGCTGGGTTATAACCATAATTTCTGTTTATATAAAAAGACGCCATATATTTCGTTGCTCACAACATTAACCCTCCTCTATACACTGGCTTATTTTATGTATCACACAGAAAACTAGACAAAAAAAAACATGAAGAAATGGTTGGTGCATTTTCAACTTCCTGTCCTTGTTCTCACATGACATCCGTCCTTTTAAAAGAACAAACTGTTTCAAAACATCGTCTAACACGATATGGATTTTAAAAAACTCAGACGCACACTGACTTTCTCTTCCTAATCTTTTTCGCTCTTTTACACAAAATACACCCAGAGGTAACCTTTTCAAAGAAGGGCAATTCCGCAGAATTTGAAGTGTTAGACGATGATGATTGAATAGCAGTAGTTGATGATCTATCACGACGAACCAATGAAAACGGGCGTGTCATTGTTTCTCCTTCTTTGCCAATGATTCCCCTTTGTATTCGCTGCCGGTGGCTACAACAAAACCTGCCCCAACCTTTGTGTGCAAAACAAAGTACAATGGAGAACGTTATGAACACATATTACATTGTAATGGAGTCAATAGCACTAAAAAAGTACAGTATAATGTGGAATTTCCATGTAAAAAAGGTTTACAAGTTGATATAAATAGAGAAGCAATTACACGTGCACACATGTACACACATTATTATGTGTGTCTGTGTGTGTGTGTGAGTGTGTGAGAGAGAGAGAGGGCACAGAAGGGCTTACTTGGCAATCCCTTAGTACAACACGTTCTTGGAGCTGGACGTTACTGCATAAAACGGAGCCTTGGATTGAACAGCCGTCCCCGATGGTAACATGGTTCATCACAACAGAATTGACTACCTGCAGGTTGGGCAAAAATGTAACAAGATGATGGGTTGTACATCCAAGGTAAAATATAATGCAAGGGCATATTGGACATGTATAAATTCTTATCTTCCATAACACCATATAAGAGCATTAATACTCCATCCGGAAACAATTTACTTCTCCTTTTGGTTCGTCCCAATTTGCATAGTCATTTTCGTGTTTTATTTTTGGGAATGGAATGTGTTGTTAATACGGAGTATTAGTTTTCAACATACATCTCAGCTGCCCATTTTTGTTTTCAACCACGCCTCCTAATAAGCATGCCAAGTCAAAGCAAGGAGATTATTTCAGTATGGCAGTACTATATTTTACCTTTACGTTAGAACCAATCCGGCAATGGCGACCAATAATGGACTTCTTGACACTGCACTTATCACCCATCTCTGAACCCTCTCCCAGCATACAATGTGGTCCCACCTAGAGAATTGATAAAAACAAAAACTGCTTATAGTCACCATCATCATCATCATCATCATCAGTTGAGAAGAAAGCATTTATATAAGATGCACTTCTGCATCACATCTCTCTCACCGTTGTTTTTGATCCAAGGACAGATAAAGGGTGAATTATGTTGTTCTGGGCAGAGAAGGAGTAACCAGATATGTGACTAGCATCCCCAATTACCTGAGCAATTATAGATTATAATTTGCTTATTAAAGAATGATATAAAGCTTCTGTAGGTTTGAGTATGGGAGAAACAAACAAAATCTCTCACATCTCGATTTATGTCACTGAATGCTTGGATGGAATTTAAACGCATGCAGTAATTGGTCTTGTTGGCAATATAAACACAGCATTTATGGGTTTTCTTGAGAGCTCGAACGGATTTATCAGAACCACCAAATGCACATTGGTCATGAAAACTTTGGGCAGAGGCGTTGGCCATAAGTTGAGACAACAAAACTGTACTGTTCTGTGAAAAATCCATATGATTCCCATTTTCTTCTGGGTACACTCCATTAAGTGATAACTCAGATCTCTAAAATGTCATGACATCAACAGATAGTTCAACATTAATAAACGTTATACCAATAAAATACCCTCAAAAAACAATCACTTAGCAATAAATTGTACTAACCAGCTGACTTCTCACAAGATACGGCAAGACATCACACTTCAAGCTCATTAAATTTGGTTTAAGAGATAGAACTTCTTGCAGAGCCGTTCTAATAATATTAAATTAAGATTACAACTCAATTCATTAAGGAAAAAAATATGGTGAACAATTAAAAAATCGAAGAGCCTCAAACCTCTTGAATGCATACATGTGAGCATCCATCAGATCGGGATGAATATCCATCTGCCACGCACATGTGTATTAGGCAAAAAAAGATCTAGTAACAACTACATAAGACTACAATAGGTTGTATTATAATCATTGTTCCAAGAAATGGTCATGGTGTTCTTTAGCGTCATAGTTAAGTTCTCTTATGTGGGTTAGTCGCAATGGCATAGCTGGGGAGGGCAGGAAGCTCATATACCCCAGCTTTGATTTAACACTTGTTTTCTAACAATAATTTTTTACAGATAAAAAACACAAAATAAATAAACTAGATATGTTTCTAGCACACCCTAATTTGAAATTTGGGGACCCTGGTTATGCCAATTGTCTACTTAGGCCCACACCTAAGAGTACTGTTTTGTAGTAAAACATTAACAACAAAAGTATGTCAGTCTCTCAGAGTGAGAGCCTTAGGCAAATTCTAGTCAACACTAAATTAGGCAAATTCTAGTCAGCACTAAATTCTTTGATGGTTAAAATATAACATGAGAATCCATTAGGTGTGTGTGACCAAAATACTTGTCCAACAGCTCTGAGTATGCTCTTCTGAACGCGCATATCTTTCTCAACTTCAAATCCTGAGATAGCATGGACATGCTTAATAGTGTCTACTAAAAAGTTAATCGTAAATTAATCTGAAGGAGAAGAGAAGTCTCACCAGCCGCAATGTGTAGAAGAAACTGTTTTGTAGGGTCCAATCCTACAATATTATATCGTGCAGGTTTCTTTGCAGATGAACCTGACTCCAAAGGCCCACCAGCTGGAGCATAACAAAGCATTGCAGTAACAACAGCATCATGTCGTCGATGAACTGCTGCAACAGCTCCTGGAGGTATATCAGAAACAAGATCACCACTTACAACCTACACAAGGCAGAATTGGGTGAGCATTCCGTCCATTTAAACCCAGATTTCCAGGGAATGAAAACATATAGGAAAATATAAGGTAACTTTGGAAGGAAAGAATATTTGGGGGGGGGGGGTCTAGGTTCAAACTCTGTAATATCAATTTTATTCACTTAATAAAACTTATTTACTTATATATTTGTATTATATTACGGAGTACTATTTATAGTGTCAAAGACATATATATATATATATATATATATATATATATATATATAGAGAGAGAGAGAGAGAGAGAGAGAGAGAGAGAGACCCAAAGACAGAACTATTTACACTTCACTATTAAAAACAATTTAAAGAGCCATTTTGCTTCAATCCAGCATCCCCAAAGCCAAAAAATAATAAATCTTTGGCTCCATTATGCTCCCTCCGATCGGCCACACACAAGGGAGGAAAAGGCATTTGGTGGCTAATTAAGCTTTTTAACGAGATTCTAAGATCTAAGAAGATTTCAAACGAATGGAGGAAGAGCATTCTAGTTCCTATTTACAAGAATAAGGGGGATGTTCAGTGTTGTGGAAACTACAGAGCGATCAAACTCATGAGTCATCTGAAGTTGTGGGAAAGAGTGATTGAACGGAGGTTGAGACAAGAGACTTTGGTGAGGGAAAACGAATTTGGTTTTATGCCAGGAAGATCAACTACAGAGGCTATATACTTGGTGAGGAGAATGATGGAGAGGTACCAAAGTGAGAAGAAAAATTTGCACATGGTTTTTATTGATTTGGAAAAGGCATATAACAGGGTACCAAGAGAAGTCTTATGGAAGGTGTTACAGAAAAAGGAAGGTAAGGATTGCGTATATTCGTGTGATTAAGGATATGTACGATAGTGCAACAACGAGCGTGAAGTCAAAGTCAGGTAACAGAGGAATATCTCATCGGTGTAGGATTACATCAAGGGTCATTGCTAAGCCCATATCTTTTTACACTAGTATTGGAAGTTCTTACCGAGCATATCTAAGAACCCGTACAATGGTGCATGCTTTTGCTGATGAGATCATCCTTATGGGAAAATCACGAGAGGATTTAAATGGGAAGTTATATTCATGGAGACAGGCTTTGGAGTTGCATGGCTTGCGTATAAGGAGAAATAGTAACATCAAGGTGAAAGTTAGATATAATACTTTACCACAAGTAAAGAGATTTAAATATCTTGGGTGTATCATTCAAGACAATGGAGAAATAGAGAGTGATGTTAACCACAAGATTCAAGCCGGTTGGTCAAAATGGCGGAGTGCTTCGAGTTTTATATGTGACAAAAAAGTACCTTTAAAACTAAAGGAAAAATTTTTTCGTACTGCGATTTAAACAACAATATTGTATGTAGCAAAGGGTGAACAAGCTAAAGTTAGAGTGACACCTATTGTAGAAAAGATGGTGGAAACTCGTCTGAGATGGTTTTTGGACATGTGGAGAGAAGACCAATAAAGCATCCGTTGAGAAGGGTTGATCAAATGGTGAATTGAAATGTGGCTAGAAGAAGAGAGGTAGACCTAAGACGACTTGGCACGAAGTGGTCAAGGGGGACCTTTGCGTGAATGATCTCACTGTGGATATGGTACATGATAGGACGCAATGGCGTCGTTTGTTCCATGTAGCCGACCCTACCTAGTGGGATAAGGCTTTGTTGTTGTTGTTGTTGTTGTATATATATGCTAATATGTGTGTGTGGTTAGAAACTTTTTGATAAGAGGAGAAAAACATTGCCACATTATTTTATTAAAAAGGAAAGTGAAGTTCTTTTTAGGACAAATGAAAAAGGAAAGAAAGAAGATTTGTATGGAACGGAGAAAGTATATATGTTCCTTAGCATTTTTTTCCTTAATTTTTTCCCCTATCATTTACCACATTCCACACATAGCCTACCGCACAGGTATATAGACTAATGTCAAGGTAAAGACAAACCAAGATGTCTTTTGCTGTCAGGTGGCGATCAATTGCTCTAAGGGCTCCTGCTGTTCCTACATCCTCAGGTACTGCCGCAACCTGTTAAATTAGATTGTTAATTTAGTAACTAGCAGTCAAGCAATAAACAGAATTTGAATACCATGTACAACAATATCCACAAACCACTTAATACTCTACCCGTTTCCATCTTCCCCAGGGGCTACCATCATCCATAAATGCAGGCGGTAAGCCCCAGATTTCTCAATTTTCAGCGCTCTTTTTGTTTATTAGCTAATCTTTTGACATTTTCTATCTTTTTAATGAAGTCACCCTCAGCTAATCAATTTTGGTCACTTGCCTTTGAGCGAATTATTTCTCTCACCTTGGTGCGGGTTTTGGTGCAGGTTTCTCTTCTTGTCCATGTATGAGTATTTGTGAATATGAAAAAATTAAGTCTTAGAAGGAATTCGGATCTCATTGCATAGGCTTGACTGTTTTGATTGGAGACAGAATCAATAATGGAATATCTTACTGGTCTACAAGGGAAAGCTACCCTTCAAGTATAATTTATTATCGTATCAAACAGGTTTCTACTCCATGAAGTTATACTATAGCTTGTTATTTTTCGTGCGAGACGCTAAGACATAGAAGAATACATTTAGTAGCCAGCAGATTGCTACAAGTTTATAACCCATCAACTATATTTGTACTATTGGTCGTATGAAGATTAGTATTTATGTTAACATTTTAGAATCCTTTCTGTTAGGTGATCTGGTTGTATATGTTGTATGACTTTTCATTAACGAATTCTTCTGTTTCCAAACAAAAACATTAAAGCTAGTAATTTTTAATGTGAAGATTTTATTCTTTTTTCCACGTGAGTATCAACATTGGTATCCAACTGTTCCAAAGAATTAGCTTTTACATTTCAAGATGTAATTTTTCGATTGGTCTTAACTAACAAGTTACAAAAATGCAAACCATCCAAGCACATATGAGTTTGAAAGGGAGGCTTTGAGTTGTTTTAAAACTACCTCCATCCAACTTAGGTAAGAAATAAAAAAAAACTATGTAATACAAACAGTTCAAGACATTTTTCAGTTTATACATATGGTAATGTTCAAATTGGCGTACTGTGTATATGAGGCGTTTTAATTTTGTGGCGTACTGTGTAAGCCTCAAGGCGTAAGCCTCGTGTTTGAAGTATCCAAATATCCATAAGACATTATTAAAAAAGAGGGTAGAACACTATAAATAACATAATTGATCCATAAACATTAAAGAAGTATATTATCAAAGTAAAAGGTCTCAAACTCAACAAAATCCAAGCAGATAATCAAAAAAAGTTGCAAATTAGAAAACACAAGGCCAAGCAGCAGTAATAACAAAACATATCACCTAGCTATCTATAATAATAAAAAAGGGCAGGTTTCAGTCACAACAACAAACACACCCTCGGTCTTTGCAAAGAAAGCTTATAAGAAAAAATGCACCCAGTTAGCAAAAACACACAGCTCAAACACGAGAGAGAGAACATGCACCCAGTAAGCGGTCTTGGTAGAGAAAGCTCATGCAGAAAAAAAACTGGATGACTGGATGAAGATAGGAAGGCGTAGATAGCGCTAGGGTTACAACCGGTACCGACGTACCGTATATACTTTAAAACTTTTCAAATTGAATGGACTAATTTAACCATAATCTTAATTTTTTTGGGAAAAAATTTGTGTAAGCCATATAGCCATCTCATTGTGTACGTGCTGAGGCTAGCGCTTTAGTAAGCAATTTCTGTGAAAACTCCATAGCCTATGGCTAGATCACCATGATGCGATTCTTCCTGAGAAAATACCTGAGGCGTGCCATGAGGCGGGAGTACGCATGGCCATTTCAAATAGAGCCGTATGGAGTATTATATTGATAAAAAATTTCCCTAACATGTGATATATTACCCAGATCTAAGCCACTAATCATTTAGGGTTAAAAGTGTACGGCAAATGCAGTGTGATTTCACCATTTTGATATTTTCTTGAACACCCACTGAGGCTACAATCACTTGAGTGCTAGTACAAATTGATTTTGGCCTTACATTTTGGTGTCACTGTCCAGAAAATCATCAAAGTAATAGACAGGGGGTGTGAAGTAAATTTTATTATCATCCTTAAGCAGATTCTACTGTTTTAATATTAAACCCTCAATATGCCATTCTTAATGTTATGCCCCAAAGTGTTAGTGAGAATGTATACCTCAACATGAAGGCGGTCAATATAGGCATTGGATATCCAAGCCCCTACTAGAGTTGCTGCATCTTGACTCTCAACCACCTGTAGTAATAATAGAATACAAATCACATCATTAGCGAAATTCAAAAGAATTAATTCAGCAAATGAGTAGCTAAATGGAACTATAAAAAAAACCAATGGCGTGTAAGAAACATACGACAATTAGATCTTTGAGATTGTTTTGCTCGAAAAGGTCAAGAATGTAAGACAAGACCGGCTTGTTGGCCACCGGAAGCAGCGCCTTTGGCACTTCCTGGAAAATTCCCAGATTTGTAAAGGCATCTAATACACAAATAATGACAGACATCCGAATGAAAACTTGAATCACATGTAAAATAACTGGAACAGGAATAAATGCAGGAACCTTGGAAACAAGAGGAACAAGATTCTTGGAGAAACCACCACATAACACTACAACTTGAAAATCCATCCAAGTAGCTCTGCAATTGAATGTGATCGATAAGCTCGGAGGGTTTTGGGCGAACTATAAAACTCGATCAGCCTCTCGTGTCATATGAAAAACTCAATTGGAAGAAGGAAAATATTGGACATAATTTTTTTTATCTATATAAGTGTTTGAGCAGTTGTAAATATATTTTTAAATGTGGAAGAAATTTGAAGAAATTAAAAAAAAAATAGAAGTTATTTCCTTTTCATCGAAAAAACAGAGCAGGATATTGTAAAAACTAAAAAAAAATTGGAAGAAGTTGAAAAAACAACAACAACAACAATAATAAGAGCAATGCTATGAGTACACCAAAGGTGTATCCCAAATGTATACCACCCGCTTCTTCAACACCCATTTTTATTTGATTTTTATTTATTTAGAACAATATTTATGGTTAACTTATAATGTTCAGGGACAATATTATTGTTGGGAAACGAGGCTTGGATGACGCAGCGGAAAACAAAAATTTATAGTCCAAAACTCGATTCCACCCAAGAACAACTTACGTAAATTACTAGCTATAGAAAGAAATTTACCCTAACGGTGAAAATGGAGAACGGAGAAACGGTCGGGGATGGTTTTGAGGAGATGAACGTAGCGCCAAACGTATAAAGCCTCTAATGTATCCACACGAACTTGCTCCGGAGTCCTAAATTAAACTTGTGCTAGCAAGTTTAATATAGGATAATAAAACTAAAATATTACTACTTTAGGGAGTAATAAATATATAGTAAAAATATTTATCTTAAAAATATTTCTTTATAATATTTTGTG